ACAACAACAACAACTTTGGTGTTCTTGGCTGATCTTTCAAATCCAGCCCAATGGCCACCTTCTAAACTAGTTTCTGCACATTGCTGTGCTTGTCATTTGTTCCTCTTATATTTCTAAACGGGAAAGGTGAAAATTGGTAGAGAGAGAGAGAAGGGCTTGCTTGTTTTGAAGAGAGTAAAGCAATTTGAGGGGATTCAAGAAATGAACTCCTGGACTGCAAATGATAAAGTAAATATTTTTCAGAGAATACAACTCTAGAAATTGCAGCCCCAGTGGAGGCTTGGCCTCTCAAGTCCAGTATTTTGTTGGCTTCACTAACCAGATTTAATTTCTCAAAGTAGCTTACTCATGCAAGCAAGATCTTTTCTTCTAGAGACCTGACTACTAAGATAAGGAGTGGTTGTGCTGACTGATAACAAGAGCCAACAGCCATATTCCACTCATTACCACTAATGAGTGTTGTCAGTTGAAAAGAAGTGTGTTCAAGAGAACTGTTGAAATTTTTCTTAGATTGGAAACAAAGGTTTATGAGGACTGGCAGAGGTAAACTGTTACTTAATCCTGTGTGTGCAAATTACTTTATTAGCCTGGCTGCTTAAATGGGTTCACCTTCGTTTGAAATCAGTTTTCCAATTTTTGTAATTTTAAATTCCCAAATTATACATGTTATAATGTTACTGTAAAATGTAATTTTCTTATAACGGGTATATGAAAATGTTAGACAAGGTTCCTGCTCTAAAACTGAGTAGGCAGGCCCTTAAACTTATGTATATTTTAACTAACTTTGTCATAAACTTGTAAATAATCTCTGCGTCTTTCATGAAAACATATGCTTGACTACATCTCATTGTCATCTGTATTGCAACTCACGGAAAAAGTAGTTCAGAAAATAAATGGTTCATGTAATACTAGGGAGATTCAGATGTTAATAACCTAATAACAAAAACTGCTTAGAAGCAGCACAGTCATAAATTATACAATCTGGAAAGAAATCATATGCATTTTCCAGTTATGTAATTCACTGTGCATAGAAATGAATACTTCAAATGACAATAAAATGTCACTATATGTAATTTAGAGTGAATGTCACTGAGATGTAATTTGCAGTGGTGCCCAAAATGTTGGTTGCTTTTCATGCAGAAGTAGAAAACATTTTGTATAAAAATTAATCTTATACAGGGGGTACAAAAGCAAATAAGAAACAAGTTTCTTGTACAGCATTCTCTTTACAAATATATGCATATGCTAGTAATTATTAACAAGAAATGAATAGCTTGAAAAGAGTTCAGCGGAGAGTGACAAAAATGATTGGAGGCTTGGGAAATCTGTTTTGTGGGGAAAGGCTGAAAGACAGGGGGTTATTTCATTTGGGGAAGAGAAGTCTGAGGGGGTGGGGTGGGGATTTGGTAGGCTTTCAAATACCTGAACATCAGTTATAAAGGATGGAGATGTGGCCACAGGGGACATGACTAGGAGCAATGGCTTCAAGCTGCAACAGGGAAGATGTAGGCTGGAGATGAGGAGGAACTGAGTATGAGGGTGGTCAAGCATTGGAACAGGTTACCTGGAGCAGGGGGTAGCAACATGGCCTGTGAAGCTAGAGGGCTTTGGCAGCCATCCCACACCTCCCATCTGGGAGGAACTCAGTTGGATCTAACTAAAGCTGGCTTAGATATGAAAGGGTGTAGTGTCTTTAGAGCTCTTTATATTCTGTGACAGTTGTTACTCCTCTTCGCCCCCACCCCCAATTCTGTATATAGAGTCCCAATATAACCATGGGGGAGCTGGAGATGCTTTCTTTCAGACAGGGAAAAATGACTGGACATTGTGATGTTTAAGAGTCACAGTGCCCCTCCTCTACTTCTTTGAATGTGGCAGGATCTCCTGGCTGAGAACTGCTATTGGTCCTGCTTCAACATACTTCAGTGCTTCTCAACTGATAAAGCTGCCCCATGCCTACTGCACAGCTAGGGAAGGACTGTGGCATAGACAGCAGGAGTGTGCACAGGGTAGTTTTACCTGGCTGCTGCTACAGGACCCCAGTTGAAAACAACTGAATTTAGGAACCATCTCCCAATTCCCAGCTTCCTCAGTATGCTCTTTTAGATGGCATGTCTTTAATTATAACTTTTATCACTACAAGTGTCAGGCTGCACTCTTACATGATGCTTTTGTGTTTATAACTGTCTCAGCCTGGATCTCAGCTTTTTTTTCTGGTTTTTTAGTAAGCTCTTACATCAGCAGTATTGCCTATCTTGCTTGGAATTTAAACTAAAGGTTGGCGTGCTATTGTAAACCAATGGCTACCAACCTTTTTGGCCAGCATGCCACAAATTATCCCTACACCCTCCCCAAGTGCTGCTAGGATTTCTTTCTCTTTCCCAGTCTGCTGCTCTGCTTTGTGCTGGTCCTGTGTTCTTTGCCTGATGTGCTGCTCTGCTTTCTGCTTCCTTCCCTGCAAATCCCTGCCTGATCTACTGCCTTGCTTTCTGGTTCTTGCCCTTTCTGCTGCTGTGCTGCCTGTCCCCTTCCTGACTGGCATGTACCAGGCACGGAGGCTGCCTGTGCCACTTATGACATTCATAGTACAGGTGGACCACCCCTGTGGTAAACCAAGGACAGATGGCAGATATCCCTCATTTTCCCATTCTCAAAATGAGTGATGAATCCCTTAGATAAGAGGCAAGGGCATTCCAGCACTTTTTAATACATTTACCTAGCATACATACAGTATTATACAAAATCCAAGTGTGCTATTCCTGTTCATAGAAACGAAAAACATTTCTGTCGCTTGTATTTACACAAACGGCATTTAAAAAATTTGAGAGTAGAAACCATCTGCTGGAATTTCATTTTATGTAAAAATTTAATTCTACCAGCTTTAAACAAAGGCATCAGGCTTCTTTTTCTGATGACTAAGGGAAAAATAGCAATGTTTCATTCTATCAGGGTAAGGAAGAAGTTACTATTTTGCAAAGAACAAATGAATAACTTGGGTGGGTAAAGCTAATCGGTGAAAGGAAGGGGAAGAAAGCAGAGAAAATCATGCTGTGTTTATCTGTTCTGTCTGGCTCAAAATTTTCATATCACTTTGTACCGTGACCAATTTGAATTTTGGCGTTTATGGTATTAAATTGAGCAATGGTGCACAATGCCACCTATATAGTCAACCATGAGGAAGAATTTCTTTCCTGTCCGAGGCCCCAACGTCTGGAACAGCCTGCCATTGGGGTTGGTTCAAGCACCTACACTGAACACCTTCAAGAGCAAATTGGATGCTTATCTTGCTTGGATCCTATGACCCCCAGTTGACTTCCTGCCCTTTGGGCGGGGGGTTGGACTTAATGTTCTTCTGAGGTCCCTTCCAGCCCTACTGTCTATGAAAAATAAAAATGGCAGAAAGCATCTGTATAGGTAAAATATGTTTATAGGTAATCTCACATGCAAGGAAAGCCAGAGCTGAACTTCGTTAATAATAGCTCTGGTACCATGAAGAAAAAAATGAAGAGGTGCTGTTTTACACAAGTAGAAAAGGTTTGGGGAGAAGATCACCCTAAAAACATGACCAAATTGAAGTGGTTTTTCAACTTGGTTACTGTCTTAACGTGGAATAAATACTATTGGACAGTGACACTGAAGAAGTTGAGTGTTGTGGTAAGAGATGTTTTCCATGGTGGGGCAGGTGCCAGGCATATATAGTACTCAGGAGGCTACAGCGGTCTGTGAGGGTTTCAGAGGGGTTGCATCAATCCCTAACGTAGTAGTTTTCAATCTTTTTTGTACCAGAGCCCATTTGTAAAGAGTGCTGAGCGTGACCCACTGCCCCTTACTCCTGCCCTGCTGTGCCCCCTTTCTGTTGGACCGGGGGGGGGGACCCCAAACAGCCCCTTGCGGGCTCCAACTGCCCACCTGCAAGGGAAAAGTGGTGGTTTCCCCTTTTCTCCTTTATAGGAGAATCCGTTTTTAAAGTTTATTCTAATGCTTTGCAACCTAGAAATGGTGCCTGACAGGGTGTTATTGCGGGCACGAACAGGCTGAGCTTGAAAAAGGAGTGGTAGGGAGGTCTCCCAAATATGTTTGTTTAGGTCGCATGAGGCCTGGACTGACTCCATTCTAGGGTCTTAAGCAATGGAGAATAAGACGTTACAACCTGTTACTAGACGACCATTCTTTTAAAACCTACTATAAGGCAACTGTTCGGAGGGCCAGGGCCCGAGCGAGCGCACCCTTCGCCCGCTCCCGGCCCGAGCTCCCGCACACTGCACCAGCGCTCGGCTGGGAGGGGGGCGGGGCCTCCAGCTCCGGGGCGGCGGGTAACGGCCGCTCGGAGCTGGAACCGCCCCGCCCCCTCCCGCTACGGCTGCCGCCGCGACGTCATAACGCACTCGAGTGTTCGTAGGCCTCGCCCCCCGCGTTACTGTTGCGGCCGTCGCCTCCCTGACCCGCGTTGTCCTTACGCCCGCCGCCGCCCTGCGCCCGCGGGTCAGACCGGGCTGGGCCGGGCAGTGGTCGGAGGCGGGACGGGGCAGGGCCCCGTGCGGCGGATGAGCGGCGGGC